CAATGATGTCCCACAAAGAATTAAAACTGAAAATAAAAAAAAAAAAAAAAAAGCCTTTTGTGTTTTCACCTAAAAATCTAACACCAAATAATTACCATTTGCTAGGGACAACATCCCTACATGGAATGAGAGATTTTAAATGAGATAGAGATGGGCAAAAAGTCTCAGGGCAGGTAAAACTATTGAGCTTTTGTCTGCACCAGAAAACAGTCAGGAAAAGATTACAAAAGATAAGAATGCTATTTTTGCAGACTACTTCTGAACTGACATAATGTACACATTATCTATTGATTTATTTATTTAAAATAAGCATAAGCACTATAAAAAGCATTTGTATACTGGGCTGACACAAGTTTTAGACACTGTCTGCATCTGACTTTAATAATTCCATGTAAGTTTCCACGTGATGAACTTAGTATCTTTTTACAGAAGCTTGACTGACGATGATACTCCAAGCAGTAACATACTGCTGGATACAAGGAACCTCTTCAGTTACTGTGTATCATAAGCTGACTTTTGTCAACTCTGGTATCTCCTCTGGAAGGAAAAAGAAAAAAAAAAAAACCCCAACAAAACAACAAACCCAAAACCCCCCCCAAAAAAAGAAAAATCACATAACCCTAAACCTAGGCCAGGAAACATACACATACAAGTGTAAGTACCTTACTTTTCTTTAAAACGTTCAGTACTACAAAAACGGATATTAGTATGGTTAAGGACACAAGCAAAAAAAATACCAAACCTCACGTATTTTCATACTTACATAATGTAACTGTTTCCTTAATATCTCCTCAATTTTATTAAAAAATTAATTCAATTTTCTAATATTATTCTGCTCATTTGGAACAATATCAACATGAAGATGATATGATTATCAAGTCAAATGCATACAATGAATTTAAATCTGGACTGGACTATAAGCATTTCCAATTTCCACTTTTAAGATCAGACACGGTACTGTCCATTTAACCTTGATCCATTTCTAGGTAAGCAAGTTCAGAGTGTATTCTAGAACATAAACTGTATTCTAGAACTACTCACAATGAAGAAATATTTTAGGTTATTTAATAAAACAATTCTTAGAGACGGCAAAGAAAAAGTCTATTACTTCTTCCTATTCATTGTAATTGATTCTTGGAGTTTCTAGGAACAGAACACACGTTGCTTGGAAAGAGCATCACCTAGAACAACGTTTCTGCAGCATTAAGAGATAACAGGATGACATTTATTTCAGTTCTGAACAGTTTCTTTTGCAATTCACTACGGTTAACATGCATGGGCAAGACTTTGAGAGAGAGGGGAAGTTTCTGAAATACACTTAACTGCTTTTTTCTTCGTTCTGTGTGTGCCTCATTTTCCTCCCCTTTCCCTCTCTTTTTTATCAAGATTGCGATATGGGGGGAAAGGGGGAGACGCATAGCAGTATGATAAATTCCAACCCTTTAACATGTACAAGCGAGGGGAAAAAAAAAAATAAGAAAAGGAATAACCATGACTATGAATACAAAGCAGCTAGACACCCAGAGGAATGAGTCTGTGTGCACGTCACGAAGGGGCACATAAATGCCTGCACCTATGGTATCGTACGGAGCTGAGCGCACGGGTTAGGGTCCATTTTCCATTTAAGCCCTGCACTGGAAAAGGTGCTGCAAAAACAGCACATGAAGCTGATGGGCTTCTGGCTGCATCTCGACCGCATGCCTCTCCAGTTAAGGAGCACATGACAGAAGCTGATCAGCACAGGGGTATTTTTCAAAATGCGCTGCCACGCCTGTTAATCGAACTTGGGCACAGAGAGCACCTCAGCTTTTCCGAAGCAGAACAAGAAGCCCTAAAGGCACATTTAGCTTACTGCAGGTGAGTGAAGTCAGCCTGCATAAGCACGCCATCGGTTTTCACACCGCAGCGTTCTTCCCAGCGCATCTTTACTTGAGATGCAAGAGGGTCAAAGGGCACAGCGCTGCCAGGAGCAAGCCGGAGCGCAGCTGCCTG